TCCGAGTTCGATCCCTGGGTCGGGAAGATCCCTTGGAGAAGGAAATGGCAGCCCACTCAAGTACTCTTGCCTGGAAAATCCCATGGACAGAGGAGCCTGGTGGGTTATAGTCCATGGGGTGTCAAAGAGTCAGACACGACTGAGCGACTCCACCACCACCACAACTCCACAACCACAATTATTAAAATGACATGGAAGAATGATGAGCCTGATTGGAAAGAGTAGTGGCCCCTTATGAAAGAGAAACTACAGGTTGCTAAAGAACTTATAGATACACCATTAGAATTGTATAGATACACATATCAAGGAATCTTGCTCCCCTTGGAATTTTCCTTTTTTTGTTATAAAAAAAGAAATCTAACAAATTGTGTCTCTTAACTGACCTTAGAAAAGTTAATGCTTCTATGAAACCTATGGGTGCATTACAACCAGGAATCCCATCACCTACCACTATTCCTCAAAATTGGCACATTATTATTATTGATTTACAAGATTGCTTTTTAAATATACCTCTACACCCTTTAGACACAGAGAGATTCACTTTAACTCTCCCTTATCATAATCATATCGATACCAAAAGACTGCACTGCCTCAAGGATGATGAATTCTCCCACCATGTGTCAGTACTACGTAGCTAAAGCCCTTGAGCTTGTGAGAAAACAGTTTCCTGACTTTTTTGTTATCCATTATATGGTTTTCAGCTCCATCCGTTTTAGAAACTCAACATATGTTTGATATAGCTCAACAATGCTTAAAAAACTCTGGATTAATCATTGCCCCTGAAAAAATTCAAACCTCTACTCCTTATCATTACTTAGGATTTGTTGTTAATAGATAATGTATTACTCCCCAACTAACTCAGATTCATACTGATAAATGATCAATCTTAAATGATTTTCAGAAACTCTTAGGTGATATAAATTGGATTAGACCCTCTTTGGGCATTGCTAATTATCCTGGAATGTGAAGTCAAGTGGGCCTTAGAAAGCATCACTATGAACAAAGCTAGTGGAGGTGATGGAATTCCAGTTGATCTATTTCAAATCCTGAAAGATGATGCTGTGGAAGTGCTGAACAAAATATGCCAGCAAATTTGGAAAACTCAGCAGTGGCCACAGGACTGGAAAAGGTCAGTTTTCATTCCAATCCCAAAGAAAGGCAATGCCAAAGAATGCTCCAACTACACCACAATTGCACTCATCTCACATGATAGTAAAGCAATGCTCAAAACTCTCCAAGCAAAGGTTCAAGAATACGTGAACCATGAACTTCCAGATAGTCAAGCTGGATTTAGAAAAGGCAGAGGAACAAGAGATCAATTTGCCAACATCCATTGGATCATTGAAAAAAAAAGAGAGAGTTCCAGAAAAATATATAATTCTGCTGTTTTGTCTATGCCAATGCCTTTGACTGTGTGGATCACAACAAACTGTGGAAAAATTTTAAAGCAATGGGAACACCAGACCACCTGACCTGCCTCCTGAGAAATCTGTATGCAGGTCAAGAAGCAACAATTAGAACTGGACATGGAACAACAGACTAGTTCCAAATCGGGAAAGGAGTACATCAAGACTGTATATTGTCACCTTGCTTATTTAACTTATATGCAGAGTATACCATGAGAAATGCTTGACTGCATGAAGCACAAGCTGGAATCAAGATTTCTTGGAGAAATATCAATAACCTCAGATATGCAGATGACACCATCCTTATGGCAGAAAGTGAAGAGGGACTAAAAAGCCTCTTGATGAAAGTAAAAGAGGAGAGTGAAAAGTTGGCTTAATGATCAACATTCAGAAAACTAAGATCATGGCATCTGGTCCCATCACTTCATGAGAAATAGATGGGGAAACAATGGCTGACTTTATTTTCCTGGGCTCCAAAATCACTGCAGATGGTGATTGGAGCCATGAAATTAAAAGACGCTTACTCCTTGGAAGGAAAGTTATGACCAACCTAGATAGCATATTTAAAAGCAGAGACATTACTTTGCCTACAAAGGTCCATCTAGTCAAGACTATGGTTTTTCCAGTGGTCATGTATGGATGTGAGAGTTGGACTGTGAAGAAAGCTGAGTGCCGAAGAATTGATGCTTTTGAACCGTGGTGTTGGAGAAGACTGTTGAGAGTCCCTTGGACTGCAGGGTTATCCAACCAGTCCATCCTAAAGCAGATAAGACCTGGGTGTTCATTGGAAGGACTGATGCTGAAGGTGAAACTCCAATACTTTGGCCACCTCATGCGAAGAGTTGACTCATTGGAAAAGACCCTGATGCTTGGAGGGATTGGGGTCAGGAGGAGAAGGGGATGACAGAGGATAAAGTGGCCGGATGGCATCACTGACTCGATGGACATGAGTTTGAGTAAACCCCGGGAGTTTGTGATGGACAGGGAGGCCTGGCATGCTGTGATTTGTAGGGTCACAAAGAGTCAGATATGACTGAGCAACTGAACTGAACTGAACTGAATTATCAACTGACTAATCTATTTAATACTTTGAAAGGAGATCCTGAATTAAATAGCCACTGAGCACTTTCTCAAGAGGCATGAGAGAAACTCTATTTGGTACAAAATAAATTACAAAAACAATTTCTTACTCACATGAGACTAGATTTACCTTTAGAACTATTTGAACTCCCCTCTCTCCATTCTCCAAGGGACTTCTTGCCCAACAAGAATACCAAATAGAATGCATCTATATCCATTTTAGGGGAATAAAGTCACTTACACCCTACCTTGATTTATTTGCTTTAATCATTATCAATGGAAGAAATAAGACTAAAGCTCTAATTGGCTACGACCCCCATAAAATTGTGATCAGTTCAAGCACTGAAAAACTCTGAACTTGGACCGGACATTTCACAGGAACCAGTCATAGTCATAGTAATTATTTCTTTCTCTATAATCAATCACATTTCATACAAGCTTGTATTCCCCCTTCCTTTTGTTTTAGCTATAGGAAACTTACAGTTTAATAAGACTTTACATTCTGTAACTTGTATAAATTGCAAATTGTATGCCTGTCTTAACTCTTCTGTTTCCTTAAGAAATGAATCCCTTTTGATTCTTCAATATTGACATAATTTGTGGTTACCAGTAAATCTCCAGTGGCCCTGGGAAGAAGGTCCCATGGCTGGGCTTGCTTCTCGGTTACTTACTAAATTACTCCGACGATCTAAACCATTCATTGGATGGCTGATTCTTGGCATTTGGGGATTAATAGCTATTTGCACTACTGCTGCTGTTGCTGGCATTGCTTTACAAACCTCAATTCAAACACATAATTTTATCCAAAATTGGACTAAAGATGCTCATACTATGTGGGCCACTCAGGCTCAGATAGATGAGGATATTCAAGATGAAATACAGGAACTAAAAGCAGCCATCAGATGGGTTTGAGATCAATTAATAGATTTGCAAAAACAAGTGATACTAAAATGTGATTGGAATTCTACTCAATTTTGTGTTACTCCAGTTCAATTCAATCATAGTGCCTATGACTGGGAGCAAATCAAATTTCATTTACAAAATATACATGATAATGCCTCTCTGAATGCACAATTATTGCAAAAAGAGATCTTTGATACCTTCTCTAAAAGTCTGCCCTCATCCACTAATCTGGATATTTTAGCTGAACTAGCTGATCAATTATCTGGGCTAGACCCACGTAGATGGTTTCAAAGCCTTACTCACAGCATTGGGTCTGGAACTGTAACTCTGGCGATCGTCTTGGCAATTATATTTGTTGTTTGCCATTGCCTTTCTGCAAAAATTGTTAAAACTAAACAAACTCAATTGGTCAGGACCTTTTTTACATATATAATAAAATAGGGGGAATTGTCAGGGAATGTGTAACAGTAGGATTCCTGTGTGCTGTTTCCTATCTCTCTTGAGCCCTCTGTTCCTTATTAGTCCCTGTCAGGGGCAAGAGGAGCAGGCAAGCCACTCCTAGGATGGAAATCAAAGAGATGGGATGCTTGCATAGGATTTCCTTCATTAGCTTTTCCATTTGGTGAAAGGGATTATTTACGACCCTCTTTTGATATGGATCACTTTGTGGCCTTATGGACTCTATTGCTCCTTGCTTCCTTGGTAACTTGTAAAGTCTGGTCTCTTGATCTTTATCTGAAGAAGCTACCTCATTTTACGGTATATATACTCTTACAGTATTCAATAAAGCACCCTTGCTCCACCAGAGACTTGGGTCCCCATGTCCTTCTCTCTCTCTCTCTCTCTCTCTCTCTCTCTCTCTCTCTCTCTCTATTTCTGGCTGATTCCCTGGTATGTGAATGCTGGCTGAGTAACCCAGGGAATATTAGCCTCTTTCCTTCGTTCACTTTCTCATCGTCGACTCAGGACCACCAGGTTCCAGTCCATTAAAGGACCCCAACAGCTGAGCCATCAAGGAAGGCCCAAAATAAAGACTATCTATGTTTAATACTCAGTAGTTTTACTTTGCCTGAGCAAATTAAGAAAACTGTAAAATATTTATGCTGGAGTATATGCTGACAGTTTTCTTGGGAGAAATAGAAATAGTGTTTAATCTAAAAGGTAAAACATTAGAAATGGCTTAAACAGAATAAGCCAATAGACGTTTACTTTTACTTTAGTTGCATTTATTTTTTTACTCTTCCTACATCCAATCAGTCTCACTGTCTGATATACCAGAACTATATCCCATAGCTTTACGACGGATCAGGATGTGACTTGCTTCATTTTTAGGAATCTCCATTTTGACTTTGGGTATGCATTGCTCTTTAGTTGTGCGTAGCAGAACACCTTTTCTTATTGCTTCCATCAAGGCCATCCTTGCTTTATTGATCATTGGTAGAGCTGATGGAGATTGCTTAAAGCCACGACAAATTGGAGTTGATGAAGATTGAGACACTGATAGAGCCCAAGGGCTTGATATGGAAGATGGTGAATGTACAGAGGAAAAGAGTGATTGTAGAGTGGACAATTTTGTTGACTTCAAACTTGATGATCTTGGGTGTGGTGTAGTCAAATTTCCTGTTGGTTGTGCAACTGAAGATCTTGATGACTGTGTATCTAAACATCCTGAAGGTTGGGCAACTGAACGTCTTGGTAACTGGGCAACTGAAGGTTTTGATAATGGAATCAAAGATACTGATCTTTGTGGATATGAAGATACTGATGATAGTGGAATTGAACTGTGTAGTGTTTGTGGAGTTGAAGATCTTGGTAATGGTGCAATTGAAGATCTTGATGCTGGTGAAACCATATATCTTGGTGGTGGTGGAAGTGAAGATATTAATCTTGATGGAACTGAAGATCTTGGTGATTGCACATCTGATGCAGAGTCATTTAGATCTGTAACTGCAGCCCTCGATTTAATTCTACGTGAAGTTACTGGAGGAGATAAAGGTGGAGGCATTTCCTGATCTTCCCTTTGTGGGACTAAATCATCCGGTATCAGTTCATAATATTGGAGAGGTTCAGGTGTTGGAGGAGAGAAATCTGTTTCAGGTGGTGTAATTAGAAGAGCTGTATCAAGAGTGGTCTTCAGGCAATCAGGAGGTGGTGATGCTGCTGGATCACTGAAAACAGTTTGTGTAAGTTGAGTCAGGGAATGCATTACTGAGGAAAGACTTGTCCTCTTTGAAGCTCTTAATACAGCTAACCAATCATGTGGTAGTGGAGGTGGTGAATTAGGTGCTGTGGGACTCACAAACACCTCTGTTTTAAGACGAGTTCGAGGTAGGGGTTTCAAGTCTTCTCCCATTCCAGTTCCATAATTGACATAGGTATGTGAATTTTTCACATCACCAGCTCCATGCATTGGCTGTTGTAGAGGTCTGGATAACACCTTTCCTACAGTTCTTGTTAGAAGCTTACTGATTTCACTAAATGGGAAAGAGCAAAATGAATTTTTGGCTGATTGATCTACATATGAATGAGAGGTCTCACCACAGGCATCTGTGATATGGCCCACTGTAATATTATCTTCTATCGGTTGACCTTGAGGCACACGTTTTGGCTCATATGGATAATCTAGGTGCTTCTTCTTTAGCTTGACCTTCCCTCCCTTTTGTTCTTCACCCTCAGAATATGAAACAGGATAAATCTTTAAACTTTCTCTACCATCTTGGCAGTGACGAGCAGGCATAGTAAGAGATGATGTCTGTACACAGGAATCATGTTTTCCACAACTTTTAACAGATTTGGAAGAGTATACTTGCTGTGATTGAAAAGCTGTATTTTGAAACATCCTCTTTGATTTTCTAACTTGCAAGGACACTCGTTTATTTGGATCATCTTGGGTAATGCCATCAGTTAACTGGATTACACTCTGTTGTAAAGTCTTAAGTTTGAAACAGAGCCTATCAACCTCTTTGGTTAGTTCCCCAAATATGTATTCAGTATATTTATTTAGATCATTTACTTGTCTAGCTATATTGTTTAAAGATGTCGGGGTTACATAAACTAACTCCTCTCGAATTTTTCTGGGCCCTGCTGATTGATTTGAGGGCCCTTCATCTTTTTCTTCATCCAAGGACATTTCCGAATCACACTAGTTTACTAGGAAAAGTTGCGAGGGAACGTCTAATCTCACCTCTTTTGAGCATCCGCAACTCTTCTCAGACTCACTCCAAGCTTTACAGGGTTTTGAATTCCGCCGGCAACATCTGGCAATTGGCAGATGCTGCTTGTATGCGAGAGTAAAAGCTCCTGCCTCCAGTTTTTGAGCAGTAGTAACCTGGCAACCAAGTCCTATGTCAGAATCTTAATATTGCGCAAGCAGTGAGAGAATAATGCCTTCAAATCATTGCCACACCCCTCTGGCCCACCCTCTCTGGAACTAGTTTCAAAGTTAGAGACCAGCAGGAGAGGAACAAACAGGGTCATCGCCAAACCTCTCATTTAATGTTTCTTAAAATATGGCCCTAGATATGAGAACATACTATCCCATGTGACCACCGACTTACTTCACTGACTAAATAGCATTTGTCTCTCATCTGATTCCAAAAATTATCTTACACTTGAGATGTTTATTCTTAGCTCCACTTGGATATCAACTTGTAGTTGTTCTCTTATTCTACCCACACCTACCTCTCTTCCCTGCATCTCTTATTTCTGAATACCACAAGTCCATCAATCCAGGTACTCATGTCCAAAACTTGGTGATTCACTTTATCCTTGACACTTCTCTTATTTCTATATCCAGTCTACAATATGGTCAGTTTTATCTCAAATTATATTCCCCAATGTATCTACTTCTCTCCACCTACCTTACCACTAGTAAAGTAAATTTCTCACCATCTTTCATCAGAATGATCAGAGCAGCCTTCTAAATAGTGTTCCTGATCTTCTCTTTTCCTCTTCCAATCTATGCTCCTTCCTCCTTCCATCCATATGTCTGTGCATCCTTCCATTCATCATCTATCAAAGTAAGCCTTTAAAATATTCAATTTATAAATACCTCTAGGTATGATGGTAGGGTAGAGCTAAATGACACACAAAAAACAAAACCAACAACTCATCCTCAAAAATAAATTATATGAACAAAAATGAATTTTAAAATGAAAAAGTGAATACTTCAGCACCATAAAAAATATAAGGGGCATAATCCCCTACCACGCACTAGGGAAATTGGTGTCCAAAGACATGGAGACCAGGGATTTTAGGAACTGGTACACAGCTTCTATTCACATTGCTTAAAGTGTGTCTTGATGATGGGGTTGAGGCTGGTATTGACTGGAAGAAGTTGGTAAGCATTTGGAAAAGTGTCACTCATAACTCCAATCTGTAGGGAAAGGGTTGAAAAAAAAACAAATGAGTTTCCTGGGTGAAAGGCACAAATTATCTCTCTCTCCTCCATACTTCCAACTGACACAAGAGTTTTTTTGAAAAACCTTCCTGGATTCTCTAGCTGGGAGAAATATGGGAAAGAGAAGACAGAATGTCTTAAATAATCAGAGCTAATTGGTTGTAACAATAAAAGATTTAATTTGAACATATACTACAGATAACTGCAAAAAGAGAGTTAGCCATTTGGGAAACGGCACAAAGAAAATATAAGTCTGTCTCCACAGCTGTGGGCTAATAGGGCCTTGGCCAACCACCCCAAACTGAAAAACTGTAACATCATGGCACCAGAACAAAGTATTAGTATTATATACTTGAAAATATACATTCAGTACTGTAAAGAAACAAAAATGGGGAGATAAGTTACAAAAGTTTAAGAGTTGTGATTATGTTATTGTTTTCATTTTTTTATAGCAAAAATCCAATAGATACCTAAATTTAGAGATAGAAGTTCAAATAAAATATAAAATTTTAACTATAATAATTCATTTATTCAGCAATATTTTTAAAGTGCTACCATATGATACTCACAGATTTCCACCCAGATGTAAAAGCACATGCAAATACTCTGAGGCATGAACTAAAATGTCCTGAATGAGACTCTGCAAGAGGCCCTGTGACTAGGAAATGGTATGAGGTGATATTTGAAGGATTTATAAATACATCCATGCAAAAGATGTATCAGAACTGTATTGGTGGTAGAGATAGTGAGAAGTGATTTCATTGAAGGTGTATTTTTGAGAGGAAGAACAAGTCTGTGACAGCGGACATGGAAATACAGTGTAAGCAATAAGCAGTCAGGTGTTCTGAGGAAAGTTTGGGCCTGCGGATGAGTGTTTGTAGTTGTTGGTGTGTAAATGGTGTTTAAAGTTATGGAATTGGATGAAAAATTCTAGGAAGAAAATACAGGTACAAAATATTACATCCTTCATTACCATAAGGAATATAAACACATATTTAAAACAAATCATAAATGATATAGCAAAAGCTAAAAAACTAAAGTATGAAGAACAATAATAACATAAAGAATTAGAATTAAGAAAAGATAATTTCATATCAGCAAATTTTGATGATATAAATTCATTTATTAAAATCAACAGAAGAGTGTTTGAAGCATCAGGGATACAGTAGTGAATAGTACAGATAAAAGTCTGGGGCTCGTATTCTACTGAATGAGATTAAAATAAACAAGTAAATAAATCAATATATAATATAACTTCAGATGGTGATATGTGCTGTCAAAGAATATAGAGCCAGTTGAGAAGATAGATGACTGTTAATTAAGACCCTTCTGAGGAGATAATATATGAAAAGAATCCTAAATCCAAGTTACAAAAGGGATCTAAAACATTGACTTAAAAAGATGAAAGTAAAAGGATAGGATTTAACATGAAGAAAGTTGTAGTTATAATATTGATGTCAACCAGAATTGAATCTACACGCACATGTTAAATAACACAGGAGAAATATATCATTAAAAGGAAATTCAAAATGAATCTCTAATGGTTATGATATTGTATAAAAAATAACACAGCATTAAAATATATAAACAAAAATGGAATAAGCAAAAAACTAAAAATTTAGAAACACAATTGACAAAATTTACCAAGGATGGAGAGAATCCAAATAAAATGAATAAAGTCGGTCTAATAGATCTATATGAAACCCTGCTGCCTGATACAAGAAAATGCATCTTTTTATTTACCATTAGAATGTTTATATATTTGGCTGTGTATTGGGCCACTACAAATTTAAATAATTAAAAATATATAAAAACAATAAAGATCACATTATTTTAAAATAATTTCTTCTTATATAATCACTTGTATTTATTTTGTATATTCATTATTTTCTCAATATATTTATTATAGTTACAACTTCATTGTTATGGATTTACCTGTAGGCCCATGTAGCACTTTATCCTTCAAAATCAGGTTTCTGAAGTTAGTATCATTATTTCTGTTTTTTTTGTACCATATAATTTTTGTATTTTTACTTTGAGAGGCTATAGTGATTAAGAGCATGTTTTGCAATAAGTCTAACTGGATTAAAATTTTGATAGTCTCAAGGACTAAGGACATTTTCTCATCCTTTCATTTCCTCAGTTCTGATTTGTTACGTGGTGTAATAATCGCACCAATCTCATAGAGATGCTGTGAGATTTAAAGTAATTCATTCATAGCATTTATGAAGAGTGTCTGCCACACAATGTGTGCTGTGCTTAGTCACTCAGTCGTGTTTGGCTTTTTGCGATCCCATGGACTGTAGCCCACCAGACTACTCTATCCATGGAATTGTCCAGGTAAGAATACTGGAGTAGGTAGCCATTCCCTTCTCTAGGAGATCTTCTCTACCTAGGGATCAAACCTGATACTCCTGCATTGTAGGTAGATTCTTTACCATCCTGCAACACAATAAGCCCATACTAAATGTCAGCTGTTATTATTACTTTCTTTTTTTTTTTTTTTTTTTTTGAGTCATGGTGTTTTCTCTTGATAGAAAGAAGTATTTTTTTTTACATTGTAGGATAATTTTTTCTTAAAAATTTATGTTTCTAA